GAGGGCAGCGAGAGCGGGCAGGGAAGGGATTCGGGTGCGGGCAGCCGGGGCGCAGCACCGGGAGCCCGGGAAGAGATTTGCTACACCGTTCTGAAGGAGACCCCAAGAGTGTGTGTGCGGGGTCCCTCCCCGACCCCGGGCTGGGCACGAACCACACCCAAACGCCTGTTTTCAGAGAGCGCCTTTATTAATAATTATTTATTTATTTGTTTGTTTGTTTGTTTGTTTGTTTATTTTGGTTTTTCGAGACAGGGTTTCTCTGTTTAGCTTTGGAACCTATCCTGGAACTCTGTAGCCCAGGCTGGCCTTGAACTCACAGAGATCCTCCTGCCTCTGTCTCCCAAGGGCTGGGATGTAAGGCATGCGCCGCTGACCACCACCACCCGGCATTAATTTTAACTGGGCCCGTTCATTAGATGAGCCAAAGGAGACTTTTGATAGCTGGACCTTGGTGGTCAGCCTCAGGAGAGGGAAGTGGCCAAGAGAACAGACCTTGATGGCTAGCTTTAGGAAGGTAATCTAACGGTTTTTTAGCAGAGCAAAGGGGCTGGGGGAGAAGGGCAAGGCCTGCCAGAGCCACATGCTCGAGTGGGCTACTGTCCGTTCAAACACAATAGCAAACTCAAGGGCTGGAAGATGGCTGAGCAGGTCAAGACCCTTGCCACTAAGCCAAAGACCGGGGTTTGACCCTCAGGACCCACAAGGAGAGAACTGAGTTCTAAGATACCTGAAAGCTGTCCCCGCTCAGACCTCCATGTTTGTGAAGTGGCTTCAGCATGAATACACAGAAACAAAGGTTTAAAAAAATACAGTGATTGTGCCACTCACCTTTAATCCAGCACTCGGGAGGCAGAGGCAAGTGGATCTCTGTGCGTTCAAGGCCAGTCTGGTCTGCAGAGTGAGTTCCAGGTCAGCCAGGGCTACATACTGAGATCTTTTGTTTTGTTTTGTTTGTTTTTGTTTTTTGAGACAGGATTTCTCTGTATAGCCATCCTGGTAGTCCTGGAACTCTGTAGACCAGGCTGGCCTCAAACTCACAGAGATCTCTGCCTCTTGAGTTCTGGGATTAAAGGCTTGTACAACACCAACTCCCAGCTGTGAGACCTTATTAAAAACAAAACAACAGCCTGGCAATGGTGGCCTTTAATCCCAGCA